TATGCCCGGCCAAACCTTGCCGACCAGGAGTGGAAACCGAACAACTCTTATTTTTTTTACAGGATTCTCCTAACCACTCAACTTCAGTACACCTCACCAGAAACGACCCTACTTGTTGAGGATCTCTCAAAGATGTCTCGTTTGGGACATGTTGCGCACTGTTCACGAAACTTTCCATAAAAGGGTTTTCTCATCAGTGTCACCTGATTGTGTAGCGCAGTGAAGTGATATTCCTTAGTTTGGTTTTTTCGAGATCTTTTTTGCCCTAGCAAGCTAGTTTGGCGCGTGCCACTTGTTCGTTTCTCACGACGTGGGTACGGTCATGTTGATTTGTGACTAAAGGACTGTGCTGTAACCGCTTCCACGGTTACTTGTTCGAGTCAGAGTCAAGCATTTCTCGCGGAATGCGCGACATGGGTACTGTATGTGGACTACTGGGAGAGGGAGATGGTCGTATGTGTAAATGTCAATGATGAACAGAGCAGTGGAAACGTGTACTGGAGACTGCCATGGCTTCTGTGCTGCGCGGTGGAGTAGGACGCTGTCTCCGCCAAGTTGCTTGCAAGGATATTCGTGACAAAACAGTATAGTGTCAATGGGATTACACCGTAGCTATGCATAATGTGATTTAAATGTGATATAATTGTTTTTACTTATTATCATTTAAGATTAGTATATATAAGTGTAATTATAGTGTAGTACAGTCCTCATCATTGCGGACCGGTGGGGCGTGTCAGCCAGTATGAGTGTGCACACTGTTGAAGCCGTTCTCAGCCTTTTGTTGAAACGCGTATGCGACAAAAAGTGGTAGAAAACGAGTAATACGAAGGATATAATATTTCTGCTGCCTCCACTACCTCAACATATGAAAAGCTGGGGCGAGATTCATGTTCATCATTAATGACCCATGATATTTATAAAATGATAAGGAATATTAAGGATACTGTCTGGATCGAGCGTTGATCAGTTCCCATCAAGGAGATTTGTAAAATCTTGTCAAGCTACAAAATGGTAATGACGAAGCTTGCACGGGTGTAAAGCTTATTTGGCTTTCATAATATTATTGTATCCGAAAGTTCAGGCGGAATATTTTTTGAATCTCGTATCAGATCTTCCGTAGCCATTTCGACATCCAGTTATGTGGTCTATGGGCAGTGTGTTGGTAAGCATCCCACAGCTTCTTTACCGTCCCTCGCAGTCGCTGTTCACTTATCCGAAACGGTAATTGGAACTCATCACTTTCGACACACTTCATCTCTACAACCGCAACGTCATCTGGGCAGAAAAAAACTTCGTCCAAGGAGGCCACCTGCCCTGGATTTGGACCTACTGTGTTCCTTGATTAAAACCAATTCGTACGAATTAACTTGCTATCTAGTCCTTACACTTGGACTGGTCCAAAGCACAATATGAGAGAGGAATCGCTAAGCAGAACTGATGCGCATATCCAAGTGCGCGGGCGTGAGACTGTGTTTTGTGCGTGGGGTTCTCTCTGCCCTTTCCAAAACGGAATTTCTTCGCTTCCCAACCGCCTGCGTGCTAACCTGAGACCCTACCATAGTATCAACATGAAAAGGGGGGGGGGTTTGAATGTTTTACCATTTTGGTGCCCACAACGAGCCAATATTTGCCTGCTCCACCACTGCTCAGGGTCACAAGATCCGAAAAGGACACTGCTCGAGATCCCAAAGCTTACCAGGGAAGGTCAACAGGTCGCCATGGCCATTTAAGATGGGATACATATCGACGTGTACGTCTCGGGACGCTGAACTCAAATCTGCTTCCAGAATTATGGCCGATGATTCTCTGGAGGGTTAGGGCAGGTGGGAAATCTATCACAGTAACTCGCCGATTCTTCTTTGGTCAGATAACAGTTAATTTCGAGCACTGACAGGCTGAGGCCCGTCGAGTTGGTTGTTATGGGCAGGCTAATGTTTGCGTCATAGATGGGAGGTCATGGGTTTATCCCTTGAAAAGTTCACAATTTTGCATTTTTTTGGAACATCTTCTGTGAGTCAAGAAAGTATTTCTATTTGGCACTATTTACCCTTTACTGCCTCAATCATCCGAAATCAGGCCAATTTTTGACAAATTTTTTTCTCCATGGGCACAATTGGCTAAAAGGTTGTCTTCTAGGGTAGTTTGACCTCCTGAACATGAATATCACATCCACTCGAAGCGAAAACTCCTGGCGCCAACGTCAGAATACTCGGTAATCACCAAAATCGTTGAACTTGGCAAACTGGGTTGGTTTTGACCTCGCTAAACACGAAAACACTCAAAAGCAAAAGAGGTACATGATGACATACCGCAAGATACTTACTGCTCGCCCTGCATCCCACCCTGCAGATGCGGCCCTTTCTCTGCTAAGGCTGAGCCTTAGTAAAGGGAAGGATCACTATCACAGGCAACCAGGAAGAGTGCTGCGTTTCTTCACCGTTTGCCTAACTGCCCTAGCACACAGCCTCGCACGAAAGCGACTGGCGCCTGTGCTACACGCGCCGGAGTCGAAACAAGGACGCCTCAATTTAAGACTGAGCGATGTGAATGGATATTCGTCGTGTCCACAGAGAGCCACCTATCCTGACGACAATTTTTCAGCGGTTTTGCGTGACAAGTCTAGGTGGACTTGGCGCGGGCATGGTTAGGCTGCGTTTATACTTTGCGGCAGCGTAGCGTAGCGCTTCCAGCGTACGCCAGCGGCAGTGCTGGGGAGAGGATGCATATCGATCTAGCGTTCCCAGCGTCACCAGCGTCACGCTAGCGTACGCTAGCGTTACGCCAGCGTTTCACCAGCGTTTTGCTAGCGTTTGCAGCGGCAGGGAGTAGAGACTATGTGGCCGTAAGAGACGCGGAATCGACGTGTATTGTAGAGACTATGTGGCCGTCAGAGACGCGGAATCGACGTGTATTGTAGAGACTGAGGGCGAGTGAGAGACGCGCAATCGATGTGTTTTGTACCCTCCAGCTCTCCCATAGTCTCTACTCCCCTGCAAACGCTAGCAAAACGCTGGTGAAACGCTGGAGAAACGCTGGCGTAACGCTAGCGTACGCTAGCGTGACGCTGGTGACGCTGGGAACGCTAGATCGATATGCATCCTCTCCCAGCACTGCCGCTGGCGTACGCTGGAAGCGCTACGCTACGCTGCCGCAAAGTATAAACGCAGCCTTAGGAAGGTTTCGTGTGTTCAGGAGGTCAAACTACCCTAGGAGCCAACTTTTCAGCCAATTCTGCCCACGGAGAAAAAAGTCGGTCAAAAACTGGCCTGATTTCGGATGACTGGGGCAGTAAAGGGTAACTAGTGCCTAAAAGTCTTGGAAGAGAAACACAATTTGGCATTGGTCTTTTCCTGCTGCAAATTAGAGAACAAGCTCGACACAATAACGGATAGAAATGTTTTCTGGACTCACAGAAAGATTTTCCGAAAAAAAGCAAAGGACAAAACCCTGTCAAGGGATCGAACACCTGACCTCATATCTAGGAACCAACTTACCTATCCACTACGCCATCGAATTACTTGTGACATGACTGCACTCGAAATTAACTTGAGCTACGCAAAGAAGGACCGGCGATTACTATGCTAAAAATCCCCCTCCCTCTAACTCCTCTCTACGAGAATCATTCCGAGAATCGAACCTGGTTTGACCTTCCCGTTACGTGGGGATTCCACCACAGCCTACGCGTAGCCCTGACCTAGCTCTTTCTGATCGCCATCTTCTGGGTAAAAAAATACGATTTTTGATAGTACCTCAAAAATGACCCCAGCTGCCTTTCTGGGCACAGAACTAAGAGGCTTTTGGAAGCAGGGCAACACTCATTGAAGTAGTGGTTGGCAAGAAGTTTCGAAACTTCCCGGTATCCTCCCAGCATACTATTCCGCAAACAGAATTCTTAGTGCGACCAGCCAGCTTACAACCCGCCTTATGGAAGATGAGACAAAAAGCGCTCTTAAAGGCAGCGCCCGCGTTTCATTTGTTGTTCTCACGCCCTCTCTGGATCTAGTAGCTCCCCCTATGAGGATGGTGGACGTGCATGTTTCGCAACCCAAAAATGCGACGGAACAGCGGCGTCCGCCCGCAAAGAGCCGACGGCTCCGCCCACCTGCCGACCACGCCACCCAACTTCATTTCTAATGGTTGCCTGATGGTGCGGTTGTTCCATTGCTGCTTCTCTCACGTGGAGTGGTGAGAGTGAGGTGATAAGGGAAAAACAGCTGATATGAACAAGTGGAAACTCGTGCAAATCACTCCTTCTCTTCGCCTTAAGCACGTACAACCGTTGTTCGGTATGAAACTCCTTCTAGGGCATTTTGCGTGTTTTCTCTTCGATTTTTCTTCACTAATAGGCTTCTTGCTACCTCGCTATTACTACCTGAGCCGCATACTCATTAAATTTGAACGCGGGCGCTGCCTTTAACGACCAAATTATTCTCCCCGAGCGACGTGGCATGTATGACGTCAACTCGCTCTTCGATTGATGTATGCACGAGGAGACATCATTAAGGAAGTGAAGGGGCTATCCTTAACACGACCAATGTATTCTCTTTTTGACTGACCACTGAAAAGTGCAGTTCTAAATTGAGAGTTGATGATGAGAGTGCTTTGAGAGTAAACTAGTTCCCTGAAGTGGGCCATGATTACAGCTGTTACAACTTTGACTGACTTCTATTTAATGCACTGCGAGATGCTTAGTTTCGTTCAACGCGTCGCTGCACAGCGCCAAAGCTCATATCTCTTCTCGTTACGGTTATTCGTATTCTACAGCGTTTTTCCTTTGTTGTTCTACGCCAAATTTTCTCCTTTTGTACACTCCCTTCAGACACATTTTTTCCCCTCGAATTTTACCACGAGCCTCTTGAGGATATGTAAGCGCACGCGTAATGCCAAAAATCTCAGAGACGGACGAATTTCCCTCGCAGCACCGGAACATTTTATCAACCCCCTTCACCGTCAATCAAATGATGACGCCGCTCACTTGGGCTCTGCTGATGATGATGCCGACCTGCTTCTGCTTACAAAGATATTCGGAATCAGCACATGTCACAACGATGAGGAAAATCGGTCGTTCAACGCGACTCTCTCCCTCTAAAACTCCACGGCAGCTCAAGTGAAATTCCCCTGATCGAAAGTTCCAAGTATTACCTACATATATACCTTCTTTCGGGCGAGGCGTGGTTGGGCGTTCGAGTCGGTATGCTGTAGCTCGTATTGCTTCATTTGCGAAGTAAAATATGAAGCGGCTGCGGTGCTGCATGGATATATGAGTACATACATGCACCCGTATTACCGTAGCTGTTACCGGCAATATGCCTACGGGAAACTCGTCCAAAATTGCTTTTTGAGTCATTAAGAACGAAGGCTTTTCTCCGCAGGTTTTTGACCGTTTCACTTCGTTTTTTCGCCATTTTCCCCACTATATAGACCCTGCTAGCATTTTAGGCCAAGCACCAAATTATCGTGACAACTGCCTTCAAGGTCATAGATGGGAAATATAGTTTTCTCCGCTTTCGAAAAGAGAGCCGCTTTTGTACGAACAACTCGTGAACCATTAGCAAACCGTGGTCGCTCACTGAATGAGTCTCCGTTCCCTCACTCAAGAGGTGATGAGAACCACAGTCTTTTTAGAATTTCAGAGAGTCGTTGAAAGACACCTAAGCGCTAGTGGGCGGACTTTGAGTGCCGAATTTCCAGGAAGTTCCTCTCCACATGGGAAATTCCGAATGAGTGAATGACTTAAAAGCACTGATTCATAATGATCTTTTATTGTTGCCACGAGGTTTTTGTGTGGAATATTTATTTCCAACGTTTCGACCTTTTCGTCGTCTTGGAAGGCCTTATATTCCACCACTATCTACAACCAGTTAATTAGCACGACATTAAACGAAAATTACTGTGAACTATTGTGCTTTGCTTCTACAATATGTAGTGGAAGCCAATTGATGTACAATGTTAGAGGGTACTGGGTTTGGCGCGGCACCAGCCCGCTTCCTACCAATCGTTCTCGTTCGCTTGCTTTGGAGAACTGGTTGGCGCCGCGCCAAGGTAAAGCATTGAGTTCCCTATACACTTAACCTGCAATACCAAATACTCAGAAGTATAGTGGTAAGGAATGAAGTGAAGGTAACCTCCCATCTATTCTTGTCACCTGATACAATCACATGCCACCAATGTCCATAAAACTAACCCTTTGGTGTTGTGAACGAGTACAATTTCGGAGGAGATGACGACGGCAATGCCTTTTATCAGCCCCTATCAGTTGCTATCCCTCTCTGCCACCCGTCAGTAATATCCCCGTCACATCCCCTATATCACCTGTTGGAACCAACTTCCCACTGTTACTGTGACGGGCGCTATGAATCAGGTGACGCTTGAGTTCTAATTAGCCTTCCACGGCCAGCCCCCGCCAGTGGAACGCCTACTTGTCCACGTCACCTCACTTCTGCCTCCTCTGTACTGCTGAGAATGTTTTCGCTGCAGGATCTGGTGTCAAAGTACTGCACATTGAGGATAGCGCCGACGGAGTATGGGGACACACTCCGTATCACTACCCTCCAGCCCCGACTCCGTGCACGGAGAAAGTGGCACGTCACTGCAGCTGTGGACCCTTTCGCCTTGCACATGGCAAGGACCGTCCTAAGGTGAGTGTGCAGTGCCTTCAAGAGGCTCTCTCAACTACAATACACTTCAGAAATTTTGAGTCTTTTGTGGCTAGGAGTACATATCATTGGACCGGTAGGTTACGAGAACATTAAAACTCATTCACAGTTTTCACTAGGTTGACACTTCGACGATTTCGTTCTTTGCTCCAAAAACTTTTCCAGATTCTGTTATTATTTAGACTTTTATAGTACCTTCATTGAAAATTTTTTGTAGAATGCTGGAGAGATGATCGCTGAGGGTTGCTTAGCACTAGAATATGGAGCGTCCGCGGAAGACGTTGCTCGAGTATGCCACGCTCATCCGGTAAGTGGACCGTTGATGTTTCTCCAGCCATTCTGTTGGCCTAGGAAAATCTTTTCCGAAGCTCACTGTACACGTTAAAGGGCAATCTTCCCCCCTGACCAGGGAAGTCCGCCAACTTTGACCTGGAGACCTGGGTAGATCGATAGTCTATAAGGTTATTTACAAATATAGATAGCAAAACTGCAACCTGCATTTCACAAGCAACTTATGAGCAGGTAAAGTTTGTTGGTGCAGTAGGGTGGAGGCTTGGTGGTGAGCTGTGAAGCATAAGCGAGGAATCGCATACATCGAATCGAGTCGTGGTGGTTCAGTCAGTGGTAAGGCTCCACGTTCGACGACTCGATTCGACTTGCGATTCCTCTCTTATGCTTCACAGCTCACCACCAAGCCTCCACCCTACTGCACCATTACAACTTTACCTGCTCATAAGTTGCTTGTGAAATGCAGGTTGCAGTTTTGCTATCTATATTTGTAAATAACCTTATAGACTCTATCGATCTACCCAGGTCTACATTCAAAGTTCCATGGTAATTTGGTGGACTTCCCTGGTAAGCATCGGATAATGCAGCGCCGTTCGCAGGAGTTCGTTCCGTCTTGGTGTACCACAGAATAGACTTGAGCTGTAGGTGAGATCCGAATCGCTGGCGTAGAACACTGAGGGACTGATAAATACCTGCAAAACACTAGCAGGTTTAAGCTTCGTGGTAAGGTCATCGCGCAACGTCGCGCTTCGTCGCATCCCTCGAGTGGCACCCAAAGTAGACTAGCCTCTAACGAGCCCCACTTGTACCCCGAGCTGCACCTTTCCCGTTTCTGTCATGACAACCATTTCTGAAACCATTCTTTTTCAGACTCTCTCTGAAGCTTTCCGTGAAGCAAATCTCGCAGCTTACTGTGGAAAGGCTATTAATAGCATTTAAAGATCTGCTTTTTGTTAATAGTTACCACTTCGTTTTATGATACTCTAATTGTGCATGCGCTTGGTGAAAACTAGTTAATAATTGATTTGTGATCGTGTTTTTTGGTCATGGCGAAATGTCCCCCTGCAGCTTAGGTTTTGTTTTTTGTGTCCTGTCCCAGTGGCTCAAATTGTAGTCTAGTTAGGTACACTTCTCTGGTTAAGTTTGACGAGTACCTGTATTAATTAATTGCATAGATAAAGATAGATCGATTTTCAAAAGTTTGCAGTTGCCGGCACAGTTCGGCGACAGGGGCATTTTTCACTTCCGCTGCTTCACTAGTGCCGGCTTACCAGTTTCATTCTAAAGGAACCTGTGAGGCTGGAAGATCGTCCAGTAACCATGGTGAAACCTGTCAACTCTTGTAAGCTCACGAAATAGCTCCCTAGATACGTCGACACGCCGATGGGAGGTAGCAGAAGTGCAGAATGCCCTCTCCCCCCCCCCCCCCCCCTCGTAGCCGAACTGCCTCTCATTGGCTACTACGAACACGAAGTTGGGGTCGTCTAGGGCTGAATATTGCACTCGCATATTCAAAGGCATGAGACGACTTCTGGGGCGGGAGATCGTTGCCAGCGTCATTTGTAGAAGGGCAGTGAGAGGGCGTATGGCCACACATCCGACTCAGCGCTCCTACCCACCGATGACGTTGGCTACAAGAACTTTCCCGCAGTAATCTGCCCACTGTCGTTAAAGTAGGTGCTGATAAGGCCATGGGCCGAGCGCGTTGACTCTCCAAGAAACCTAGCGAACTATGAAAGGAGGACGATCTGTTCATGTAAAGCCACGAAACTGCAGTGGGTTCGTTCTGATTTTTTTACAATTTTTTTGCCTGCGCTAGACGACTTCAGTTCCCGGAAAGTGCGAAGAAACGGTTGTGAGCCAGGATGGGAGCGTGGGCAAGGAGATCCGAGGCGCGCGAAGCGGGAGACGGTAAAGAGGATCGTAATTCGCCGCACCGCCACGCGCGGCGTTTTCATAACTCGTTTTAACCTGTCGAATGAAGCACCGGACTTCATGTAGACCCCGTCATCGTAGACACTCATTACTGTTTTCGGTCCTTAATTGCATGTTGTCGCCATCTACTGCCTGAAACCATCGTCCTTTGCGGGCGGACGTCGCACGCGACGCCCAGCAGCGCGGCAAATTACGATCCTCTTGTCACATACCCGCGCGAAGCAGCTTCTTGAGGAAAAACGTGGTTTTCCCATTTAGTAATGATTTTTCTCCCACGGAATTGATGTTTTTCCGCATTGTCCTCCCACCTTTCCCTAGCTCATTTCCAGATTCGAAGATGTCGTAGAAAACATATTAGGCCCTGATCGGCTTAGTGAAGGAGAGGGGAGAGGGTATTTTGCACGTTCGCTGGTTCCTTTTGCTAATTCCTTTCGAACTACACGTCTCACTCTAGCAAAACAAGTAGAGTCTCATGTCAAGTGCGAACGGAGTTCATGCTACTGCATAGTTTTACAGCAATTCACACGCGATCTTGAGGCATCGGCAGTGGTATACTAACTAGCAAAGTGCCCCCATGAAGCCGAACTACGCAGAAATTCAAACTTTTGCGCAGCTTTATGGGAGTTTCTAGGATCCACAAACTCACCGGCTATGTTGACTGCAGCTTGCACAATTCACCGCTAGCGGATTAGCGCCATGATTTCGGCTACTTTACATGGTCAACGCTACAGATATCGTTTCCTTGAGAAATTTTATCAATAATAACAATTTAAGCCGTCATCACAAGTATGCACTCGTTTATTTGCACTTGCAACCTTTAGTGTAATCAAACATGTGATGTTATGGAGAGAAAACAGTGAATCAATAGGTAATGTGGACAAGTGGAAGGCGAAAGTATGTAGCTGCCCAGGGACTTCTTTATGAAACAGGGGTTAAGATCGTGAAGGATTATCTTCGCCGTATTAAATCTTTGTTTTTTGGATGTAGCACGCATTCTAGTTCCTTTCAGTATTGTAATGGCTTATTGAGTGCGATAGTGTCTCAACAATGACTTGCGCATCAGCCAGAGTACGAATCCTCCACATCAGCCAGAGTATGAATCTGGTGAGAATTTACCGTTCTCGGATGGTCGAACGCTTGGTTGCCCTGGGGGGGGATCCGATCTGGGTTTCGACCCCACCCCACACTACCTCCGCCCGTGGAAGGCAGTTGGCACGATAAATTCCCTAAGACGAGTAGGATTAATATGCCCGGCATGACGGAATTCCGCGACCCTGAGCAGGCGCTCCACGAGGTGTCCTTATATGTCCTATCAAGCTACAGCATACCGACTCGAACGCCCGCGTCCACAAAATGGCGGTGAAATGGGTCTAGTTTTGTAACGATTTCTCTTGAATATTCTAACGTACAGGTCCCATCAATATACGCTATCGGGAGACTGCATTGCTGGACCTATGCTTGCTCACAAAGCTGAAGATGAAGGTTAGTAATTGAACTGCTCTGAAAGTTGTTCTTCCCCAACATGTGTAGAGGTTATGATCGATACTACTGAGCTGATACGGAAACTTTTGTTGTCGGGATTAGCCCCCTGCCTACCTGTATCGTTTACTTTTGATTTATCATTACTTAAAACCACCCCGAGGTCATTTGATACTCAGACATCTTGCATAGTAGTCCTGTCCGCGAATACATGAGGAAAGCGCGACACGCTGGCCACAAGACGGCGGCTCCGCCCACTGGCCACGGCTCCGCCTGTTGGACACGGCAACACCATTCATTTTTGAAGACAAATCCCTCGATTGCATATTGTGGGTAGTGGCGCTCAGTAAGGAACCTGTTGTCGTTGTGTGACCGTCCAGGGTAGAAAAAGTAAGAAAAAATTGGGGCAAAAATTCAAGAAACATCATAAGGACACTTGGCAGCCTCAGGCAAGATTTCTCCGGACCTGCTTTTTTTCATGCCAGCAAAACAGTATTCGTTTCTCGTCGTTATCCTATGCTATCCAACAGGGAACAAGCAAAATCTACGTCGGAACTTCCCCCTTATGAGCGCCACAGCGCTTTCTTTACTTACGTCGAAGGCGCAGAATTTGTAAAACCCTAAAAGGCTGAAGGGAAACCCTTAAGAACCAGAATACTTGAACAATGAACGACGCTTGAGCGCGGGGATTCTTCTTCAAGAGAGAATTCCACGCAAGATGAATATCACTCTGGTCATGTTGAGAGCGAAACAATGAGTCATTCTTTTTGATGTTTTTTTTTGACACCGCATTCAAATTTGTGCTAGAACTCTTACCGTTATTAAACGCTGTGATTTATTTATGCTTCCGGTTACAGGTATTCTTTGTGTGGAAGGAATCTGTGGTGGACCAGTGCATATCGACTATAACTGCATTCCGTCTGTTATCTATACTCACCCTGAAGTTGCTTGGGTAGGAAAACCTGAGGAACAACTAAAAGAAGAGGTCAGTTGTTTTATCTTGTTATCAAGCCACTGACTTTTGTAACTTTCTTCTTCAGAAAATGTTTAGGAATAATTTTGAGGTTGACTAGCTAAAAAGGCGGGAATAGAGCATGCTAAACTCTTTCCTTTCCAGAAAATCGAGTACAAAGTTGGAAAATTCCCGTTCATTGCAAACTCACGTGCTAAAACGAATTTCGACACCGAAGGATTCGTCAAGATTCTAGCTGACAAGCAAACGGATAGGAGACATTTTGCTCGAATCGGGGCCAGAGACAAAACCGAATGCCATATTCGTGATCAGGGCACCAGATGACGTATATAGGAAGAGTCAGCGGATTTTTTTTTCGAGTTTTCGATATCGCAATATTGTAATGGTGCCGGAGGTTTGAGAACTTAATCATTGATTGCGGTTTATTTCATGTTGTTGTCACAATTTCAGGTAATGAGCGCTCAGAAGGATGGAGACAATATTAAGGTTGAAATAGAAGGTGTAAAAGATGGCAAGAAGCAGACCGTAAGTAATTCTAGTAAGCATTTGAAACGCCTTGTTTGCTGCCTCATTTGTACGATTGTTTTTCAGTTAGATTGTGATGTCCTGATGGTATCCATCGGCCGACGTCCTTACACTAAAGAGCTAGGAGTCGAAAATGTGGGCATTCAACTTGATGAAAAAGGCCGAGTACCCGTGAATGAGCGATTCCAGACCAAGGTGATTCTGTGCCTTCAACTGGATTTGTGAGAATCAGAACATTTGGTGAAGTTTTGCAAAGAAAGTTCGTCTATGTTATGGAGAAGTTGCTATCTGGGCGAAAAGTTTCCGTTTGCTGGTATAGAGGGGACAATATACGAGCGCCTCATCCTCAGTGTTCCGTCGGTGGTTCAAAGTTGAGCGGGCTGATACTAAGGAGTGATGTTCGAGGGTTAGCAGTTACGAATTCTTTTTATTAGGCCCTACACTGGAGTCTAAGCAGCGGATTAGCTTCTGTGGTGGCTAATGTTATTTTTTGAAGCGATTACTAACGATGTTTCATAGTTGTAGTCTTGGTTTTTTCCTCAACCACATAACAACTATATCTGCCAATGTTGTTTTTTGCTAATGCGAGCACGAGTCAAATGCGTGCAGAATATGCTAGATGAGAGCCTGATTTTGTTGTGAATTTTCAGGTAATCTCTTCAACTGGAGCACTCTCGTTGAAAGCTGTACCCAAGAAAATGGTGGTCATCGGAGCGGGAGTTATTGGACTGGAGTTGGTTCAGTCTTCGTATCTCTTTCTTTTATTTAAGATGATTATTAGCGTTGAGGGCCGATCTCTCAATGCGTTCAGGGTCGAGCAGGCTTTACCATAAAGTTTATGGGGTTTCCATCCATTCTAGTTGCTTTCAAATCTTCAGGGCTCAGTATGGCAGCGGCTAGGTGCTGAAGTGACTGCCGTCGAATTCCTCGGACACATTGGTGGAATTGGTATTGACATGGAAGTCACGAAATTGTTCCAACGTATCCTTACCAAGCAAGGAATGAAGTTCCTTACAAACACAAAGGTTTGCATGCCTTCCAATAAAATAATTACGCAGTACTGTCGAAACTAATCAGTATGAACAAAGCAACAGAAACACAAAAATGCAATTTAATGTAAATTAGCAACACTGCATTCTCTCCGTGGCTATTTCGCTTCAATACTTCCCTAGTCTCTCTATCTTGAACAAATTGCTTGGTTGCTAGAGACATTCAGAAATGCATTCAGACGCTGCTTTTCTTATAAAAGTGCAAGAAAAGATAAGAAACTTTGGCGACAACTCGAAAAGCTTGTATTTTTCTTTGCTGAAAGTTCACCCACTGCGGTTCTTCAGTGCCTCCACAAATAAATATGATACTCCTTTTTGGCTATTTGACGTCAACAGGCGCCCATTTGGCGCCACCGCCTTTCTCGCCTAAATCGGTGAAAACTGTGTACGAAAATTATTTCATATCATATTCATACACATGACATTCATTTTGTAATACTGTAGGGCACTCTGATCATCTGCGCTCTGCTGAGGCTGAGCCTAGCGAGGAGGGAATCACTCCTCCCAGTCATAGGTCCAGCAGAGCGATATATTGCGTCGGTATCGAAAAATGAATATCTGATCGTGATAAGAACATCAGTCAACGCTCTTGTGCAATTTCAAAAGGTGATCTCGCCAAATCAGGCATTTTGCTCGAATCGGGGCCAGAGACAAAACCGAATGGTGGCTTATTTCCATGGAAACAGCAATCTTACTTATGCCGCACTTTAAAAGTAGCTTTGGAGTCGAGGGAGAAGTTCTCGGCGATAATTTTGAAAAGATCGCGTTCTTTGATAGAGCAGCTTAGCATAAATGTGTCGTTAACTTATTTTTTAACTCTTTAAGGTTCAAGTGAAAAAGAATGATGGCTCAGTAGAAACTGTGAACACTCGTAATATTCTTATCGCTACTGGATCAGAAGTGACACCATTCCCCGGAATACCGATCGATGAAGAAAAGGTAAATTTTTGAAATAAGAACAGTGAGGAACAGAAAAATATCCCATGATCTTCCAAATCGGGCCCTTTTTGGAGCTATGCAAACATTGTGCACTTCTCGCCATTAAGGTAGGACACGCATTTGAATGGAGTTGTGGGACTTAAATACTAACAACAAGGTAGAAATAACAGAAAATTGAAGAAGCAGGGGAAAACCATACTATAATGCCTCATATAAGACCCCATGTATGTGTACAGGAGAAGGAAAGCGTGGTCGGAAGAGTTTTTACTTGTTGGTGTCACTTTTTTCTCCTTATCACCTCACTCTCATCATTCGAGATGGTAAGAGTATGTACCGGAGCTGCTGCACCATCAGGTAACAGTACTATTTCTTCCATATTTGCGGACAGAGGCAGGCCTTCCATCTCAAGGAAGGTGTCTGGTACTCAAATGAAAGCGATTGTAGGCTGCGTTCACATCTTGCATCTGCGTTGTGGGCGGTTTCGAACGAGAGGTATGTAACACTAAATCGATCAGGGCAACCATCGTTGGGGATTCTCCAACAGGGGGGGGGTTCTTATTCGGTCGCTGGAGGGAGAGGTGGAGTTATATTTGGAAAATTTTTTGATAATTGATTTCAGTTGTTTCGGGGATCCTATAAAGATGGGTAGTATTTGCCTTTTGGCCTTCTGTGACAGGCAATCACTTTTCGTGGATTATGTTGTTTTATATGCACTACATACTCCACCTCCCCCCCCCTCCCGCTCGACAGAAAAATTCTTAGGAAAAACTAGGAAAACTTTCGGGAACTTCTAGAAATAATGGTGGGAAATTTGGAAAATCGAAGAAAGTGGTAGACAGGATAGGAAGGGAGTGTCGTAAATTCGTCGCGGTTTCTCCCGGTCCACATGTGCTATACATACCCCCCTCCCTTCCACCCACCACTCGACAGCTCGATTAGTAGGGAGGGGTTCGCACGAACTTGACGAAAATCCCAACTACTGTGCCCTGTCTAGCCTACGACAACGTTTTAATTGTATGGCAGCGTTCCGAGCCTACACAACATCATCAGCGACTACGCGAAAAATTGCAAACTGCCCATAAAATCACACGAAATGCTGTTGCAAAGTGCGAACGCAGCCTCATTTCAACGGTTAAAAATGTTCTTGTTCAGGAATAAATGTCTCTCCTCAACTGAATCTCACCAAGATGATGGAAGCAAAATCAAGCAGTGTCAAAGCTCTCACTGGAGGTAAGAGCTTTTTGTAGCTGATGAAAAGGAACAGCCTAACTTGTTGTGTGTGGAAGGGTCAGGGTATAGCAACGGGGTAAGGAAATCGTCCTCTGTACAGCTTCTCCATTTCGAGGGGAGGGTGGGCAGTTCCACCAGTCAGGAGGTGGTATATACATTTAGAGAAATGCGAAAAGCGGAGCTAACGTAGTTGTGGCGGAGAGCTATCAGTTGCCAGTGACAGCGAATAACTTCCTCTAATCAAGGTTCAGTCTTAATATTATAATATCGTATTTTTGGTTGTTCTATGACTCTAAGCCTATCGCTTCCACTGCTTAGCGCACCTATGCGTGCATGATAAGTAAATAAATAAACAAATAATAGAAACTAGGTCTTTCCTCTGCGGGACTAACTCTCATCGGCTCTGCTCGTTTTCGCTCCAAGCCCAAGCCCTTCTCGAGAAAGGGTACAGAGGCGAGGCAGAGTACTTCCCCCAGCTTCATTAGCGTCGAAATTCTTCCCTCCCTCAGTGATCAAACACAGCAAGCTGGTAATTCGCTCAATGGTAACGCACGTCGTGAAGAATTCATGCGACAAACTCTCTACTTCTCCTTTGGATCCATGAGTTTGCGATCGCCTCTTCTATAAGAAGGTTTATTTTGCATTTGCAGGTATTGTCGCACTTTTCAAAGCTAACAAAGTTGGACATATTGAAGGAGTTGGAACAATCACAGGACCAAATCAGGTGGGTCTTGCTTCATCGTTCTTCCCATTCTCCTCTTTATTCATCGTTTCTTCCGTTCTGATCTAATTTCTCATGCTCACTTTCTGCCATCACCCTGGCCATTCCTGGAGGGGCGGCTTTAATTGCTGAATGTTCTTCGTGCAGTAATTTTCCGATTATCACTTGATTTAGTGTTAGCATATACCTCTCGTTCGAAACCGCCCACAACGCAGATGCAAGATGTGAACGCAGCCTAACGCTGCAAAATAAATCAAGAAATGCTCCAAGGAAAATGGAAATACCTCGATTGGCGAAGTCATGTTGAGCCATATGATAGTAATGAGAATTGTTAAGAAGTGACTTTGACGGAATGCACCCAACATTGAGGCAGGTTCCTCCGAGAGTGGGATCTTTTTCCACACAAATGGTCTGAACAAACCATTGAATCCTTTGATCGAAATGAACTGAGAGCAGGCAAGTGACGAAATGTACACTCACCTTCATTCCAAGCTGAGCAGCTTTAATTGCAGCCACATAGCCACCTGGACCTGCACCAATGACGACTATGTCAGCTTCTGAAAAGTGCTACGTATTACACAAGAAATACTAAAAGAAAAACTGAGCATGAAAAGTGTCGTACCTTGAGCCCCGCTAAATGAACGACTCAGAATTGAGAAGATCGCTCGTTTCGTCAAAGGAGCTAAAGTCGTTCTAGCTAGTGACATTTTTACCTGAAATTAGGGAGAACATACAATGTGATAAGGAATTTTGAGTTGAAACGGATGACTGGCACGTCGTAGTGGACACTATGGGCAGTTACCAGAATCTCAGAGTATGCGTAAAAGGACCAGTACATTCCTAACAATCAAAACTGTAAGAGCGCGTTCACACTTTGCGGCAGCGTTTTCGGCCAGCGTCCCGAGCCATTGGGAAAGCATAGGTATCGATCCAGCGCCTTGAGCGTCCGCCGTCCGTTTTGAGCGTTTAGAGAAGCAGGGTATCGATCTAAAGTTTGAGCGTGCCAAAGTTCGCCGCGACCACCAGCACTTTAAACGGCAATCGATATCTGTAGTTTCCTGTTCGCACCCTGACGCTAAAAATGCAGGTGGACGCATCATAATGCTACCGCTAACCATGAATTCATGAAATTCACTTAACTGAGGACCGAGATGACAAGTAAGCACCTTCTAGACCATTTTTGAGCAATCTTTTGCTCTTGGCAGAAGATATAAAGGGGCGCGAGTCGTGTAATGCCGCGTTCATACAGACGGCACCCGCGGCCACCGTGCCTCCGCGGCAGGCCACGGCCGCGCTTAGCCGCAGAGGCCGCGGAGGCTGCGGAGGCTGCGGAGGCCACGGCCTCCGCGGCCTCTGGGGAATTTCCAAATCGATACCTATACTTTGCTTACGGGTCCTGAAAATTCCGCAGAGGCCACGGAGGCCGCGGCCTCCGCGGAGGCTGCGGAGGCCACGGCCTCCGCGGCCTCTGCGGAATTTTCCAAATCGATACGTATACTTTGCTTGCTCTGAAAATTCCGCAGAGGCCACGGATGCCGCGGATGCCGTCTGTATGAACGCGGCCTCAATGGAGGCCCTCTAAAAGGATTCTTGTGAAAAGCTGAGACAGTGATTTAAAAGAAATTTGCAATTCAGAAGGAGGGAAGGAGCACTGGGTGGGCGTGTTCACATTCTTGGAAGAAAGGCGGTGCAACGATACCTTCTACTTTGCCATAAAGGCAATCGTTTAAATGCTCACCCGAGTTGCCGAAAACTGGGCTTAGTCGGGCGGTGAATAGCCACAGATTGTGGGGATTGACGTATTTTTCGTCACTACTCGCTGTAGAACACAGAACCCCGTTATTTACCCACCCAACCGATTTCTAGCACTGAGTAACCCCGCGATGTTGCCCCCTTACGGTTTTTTCCTATCGTTCGGTTCCTAACGCGCAGTCATTTTTAAGGACCCACTCTTGACTATGAGAAGTTTAACGTTTGCAAAGTTTTCAAGCAACTCGACTTCAACAGCATTATCCTGGTTTGAAAACTTACTCCACTTTTTGTGTACTCAACAGTGCTAAACATTTGGTTGGCAATTAATGGAAAAAAAAATGCACGAAGACCAAGGGATTAAGAGATGAGCCAATAAGTTCGCAATTTGCGCATCATCTTTTTTTATCAAGGATTTTATGGAAAGGGTAAAACTAGGTATTGATGAGCTTATACACTTACTTCTAGTTTCCAGCTGGCGTCGGCTAGCACTTCTTAACCGGTTTTTTTGGCTACGGAACCGGTTCTGGCATTACTTGCAGCTAATAAACAGGTACTAGGATTCAACAGTCTTGCTTCTTCTAAGAACTGGGAATGTTATGCCTACTCAAAAAGAACACCCATCAGAAATACTATTTGATGTATCTTTTGAAGCGGGTAAGCTACAGCAACAATCAGTCGGGTTGCTCCAGTGAGCAAAGGTCTAATTTCAAAAAAAAAAATTTGCGAATCGATTCTTTCGATAGAAACTGAAAGCAAGAACGCAGCATGCTCGGCAGTCGATAACGGAGGGAAGAAGCTTGAAAAACTTGAGCTCAGAAAAATGTGCTACTCGAACTTGTCAAGATTTTCAGGAAGGTCGTTGCGGGACTCACTAAGGCTAGCAAAAAGTCGTAACGCGCTGGCCGCCAGGCGAATACTGGAGCACAGGCGCGCACTTCCTCGGGCTGCGTAGAAAAGTTTTTGAGTCGTTCCCATACACCATGAATGCGCACCGTCGGATAATCGCGGGCAGTAATTTATAAATACGACTTGATTGATGACTGTGCTTTGAACTCCGTGCTGGCGGAGAAAAGCAGTTCTCCTTTTAGCAGAATCCGCACGAGAAGCGGCAAAACGACTCTCTTCACGCGACGAAAACCTCTCTCACTCTGTCTGATTAGCCATTCTATTACTTGGTTTTATCGTGAGCGTCCTTCGAATCGGAAAGTTAAACCCGGTTGGGTAGCGACAATTTTCCTGCTACGTCATTACTAAGCCTCCTCGTGATACAGTCATGATCCCTGGAACGATAGTTGGTGTGTGGTGGGGTTACCAGTGCCACAGGGACCGGCTTTCCACCAATTGATGAGCATTTTCGTAAGCCCTACAAACAAATGGCTAGGGAAGGCTGATCTGGGCTGCACGTGCAGTTCAACCTTTCCCTCCAATGGCCCTGTATGCGCTGCGGCGGTCTATAACTGTATGTGTTGCTAGCTAGGATGCACGGAGAATTTTGCGGTACTTCGATCACATTATCGCAAGGGGTATTCTTTTAAATGAGCTCTTATCAGCAAGGCAATAATCATCGGCATCTTATTTGTACCCACGGGTGACTTCCCTGCCCACTTTTCTACAGTCTGGTTCGCTGCGAATGATAGGGGCGTGTCCGCGCGGCTGCTTTGACGCACCGCCAGACCCATTCTCCACCAGTTGTTTCAAGAATAAGTGACAACACTGGTGGAAAACGCCTGATATGAACGATATCATACAGTCTCGTCGCTTGCAGGAAAGGAAAAAAAACGGGTTGGCGCCGCGTCAAACGCAGCCAGACGCTCTCATCATCCTCAGCGAACTATTAGTAGTGACTGTAGTGTAGTAAACAGCATGATAAGGAATATCGCGGTCGATTTCGTCGAGTCGACTCGGTGAGTGCCTGTGGTACCCCCAAAGACAGAGCAGTGCACTACTTTATATAACCTATAAGTATGTCTCAAGTGTGTGTGTGTGTGTGGTGTGTTCGGTGGGGGGGGGGAGGCTTTGCAGAGGGGGTGACGCAGGCCATAGTGCCGGAGGAGCCAGTAGCAGTGGGAACATGTGTTCCAAGGTATGAATATAGACGTGGACAAGGAAGCATTATTGGATGGGTGGAAGGAGTGAATGATAGCAGTTGATAACTGATCCGTCAAAAGGGGTCAGAAGGACCGGAGGGTGACCAATGCCGTTATGCGGGACACAGTAAACCCTAGAGGGACCAATGGACACATAGTTCCAAGGATGTGATATACTAGGACGTGGGACAGAACACTATTGATGGACGTGACAAAGGCCTAGCAGGCTGATAGGATGTTGATAAGTGGAGGGTTCGAGAGATGGTGAGGTCACGCATGAGTGTCATGAACGCGCGGAGACCAGCAGCATATAGCTAGGGCAGGTTAATTGTCTGCAGGAAAAATGAGGATAAGAGGTTTTGAGATGGGGCACGGGACACGGTGAGGTCGTAAGCAGCTGGATAGAGGCGGAGCATGGAGAACGTTGCCAATGCGTTCAGTCAAATTGCTGGAGCCTTTACACTACCAAATTATAGAGTTTTAGTGATAGGGACATTGATGACGGGTGACAGGATCTTATCAATTGATAAGAAAGGATAAGGGGCCATATCATTACCTCTTCTTCATAAGCTATGTATACGTTCAGAGTATCAAAGATCAGGTGTGCTTTAGTGTTTGCGTTGAGGGCCATCACTTCCGCTGGGTAGCTCTAGAAAATGAACTTTATGCTGACAACATGAATTGTCGATGTGCGACGATTAGGCAAGTTGAGCGGGGGGGGGACAGCGAAATCCCAGGGAAATTCGAAGAGAAACGAAAAAACAGCTTCTAAGGACCGGATCGCATTTCTAATTGACAAGCTAAGCTTCTTAGGCATTCCGGTGCAAGGTAATGCGGAAAACGAAATGCTGCCTTTTCATTGAGCGATTTCATATTGCGCTGTATTGCGACCCCGACTAGACACAGTATCGGAGAGCACGGCGTGAGCCGTGCTCTCCGACTCGTTCTAAATAAGGGACTTTTCGAGATTTCGGCACGTAACGAAATATTTGATAATCTCATTTCGGTATCACTGAGCGGAAGGAGGTCAAAAGTTGAAAGCTCTTGGGTAAATCTAAGCGGCAAAGTTTCCCAACTAACATCCATTATTACTGGCCAGGCCCAAACCTTAGACAAGTTTACTGAGACCTTGGAAAGAAAAACCTCCCAAGTGCTGGTACCAAGAGGATATTGGCCACGCGAAACGGTATCGTTAGAGGGTTTAAGTTTCTTAGGACGTAACAGGACCTGTATGTTACGAGGCCGAGGAGCCTATCAGTGCTGATGCGCTCAAGCTGGAACTTCGAATCAAGAGCCTTTTAACATCAATACGCACTTCCATTAAATGCAGTAGGCACGTTGATGTGGCACTATTCCTGAAATGCTTGCAAGGCCCTACACAGCGGGAAAATGGCGAAAAAACGAAGTGAAACGGTCAAAAACCTGCGAAGAAAAGCCTTCGTTCTCAGTGACTCAGAATGTTCGGACGAGTTTCCCATAGGCACCTTGCCGATAACCGCTACGGCTGCACGTATGTACTCATATATCCATGCAGCACCGCAGCCGCTTCATACCGATCCCTTCGCTTCATATTTTACTTCGCAAATGAAGCAATACGAGCATCAGGAATGGTCGTCCATTTGTGGGCGGGCGGGCGCGGTGGGCGTTCGGGTCGGTATGTTGTAGCTTGATAGGGCCTTATAAGGGTACCTTTCTTGGAAAAGGCGCTACGCAGCGCCTGCTCAGGGTCGCGGAATTCCGTCCTGCCAGGCGTATTAATCCTACTCGTTTTAGGGATTTATCGTGCCATCTCCCTTCAATCGTGCCGCAGCTTATCCTTCTTTTTTTACGGAAATCTTCGTATGGAGTACTCATTTTGCAAGAATATT